TTTTAATTATCAATACAAACTTAAAAAATATAATAAGGGCAATTGGGTGATTAAGAAAATAAAATTTATTACAAAAAAATCTCTTGGGGTTTCAGAATAATTTCATAATTTTGAGAGATTTTTTTATTTAATTCCCTTAGACGAGACATAATTGCAATTTTCTCATGTTTTCTTTTGGTTATCATAATTTTTGTTTACCAACAATGTGTTATGGCACAAACCAAGTGAGAAACTTGTCATGTTCAGTAATGACAGGATATACTCCTTCGATCCTTAATATAGGACTCAATTCTTGAGTTGGTTTTGGTTCTAAATATAAGACCCATTTCTCATATTTATCAATTTTCTCTAAATTACCCCTATGGATATTCCCTCAACCATAATCAAGTAGAAGAGGGAGATGGGGTATTAAGAAAGATGATTATGGTGTTTTAGGAAAAATATATCACTTTTCTTATAATTAGTTAACTTACCTAACTTCTTTAATCTAAACAAATTAGTTAAATATGTCTTATATTAAGGACCGGATGAGTATTAAATTATATTTAAAGATGATGATATTCATGTTTTCTTTCGTCATAAAAAGAGAGCATTCGCGATATTTTCTGATCAGTTAAATATGTAAAGAGTGGCAAGGGGTTAGGAAGCGTTTTTTAATTATTCAAACTCTATTTTCTTATGAGATTTTTCTTTTAAAAAATTGCACCCATCTAAAAAGAGGCTAATGTATCTTTCTTTGTAGATTCTTGTTTCATCCATATATAATATGAAAATTTTTTATAGATTATATTATTTGCTGATCATAATTAATATAGCTTATTTTAAAACTTCTTTTTAAAAAATACTACACAAGTCTAGAATATAATTTTGTTTTAAAACAAAAAAAAGTGGGATAGGCTACCAGATCAAATCTAAACACTGTTTCTAGTGGTATTTTTAATTATTCTTTTACAGTTTTTTAAACAATTTGTAGTATTTTTAATGTCTTAATTTTCCTGCCAACAAAATCGAGGATTTAAATCTCATCGTCGTTGTTAAAAATTTAAGCGTATATCTATTTGAATTACAAGACTCGCAGTTTTTGCGTGAGTCTTGTAAATTTTCATTTTTCAGAATACAATCAAAATACATTACAACAAAGAATATAATTAGAATACGAGTTGTACATTTTACGGCGAGTCTAATAAAAAATACTTCTCCGATTCTTAATATAGGATCTAATTGTTGAGTTGATTTTGATCTTAAATATAAGACTTATTTGTTATATTTATCAGTTTTTTCTAAATTACCTACATTGATACTCTCTTAAGCATGATCAAGTAAAAGAGAGAGGAAAGATATTACTCCTCCGGTCTTTAATATAAGACCCATTTAACTAATTTGATTAGATTAAGGAAGTTAGGTAAGTTAGTTAATTATAAAAAAAATGACATATTTTTCCTAAAACACCATAATCATCTTTTTTAATACCTCATCTCCCTCTTCTATTTGATTATGGTTGAGGGAGTATCTATAGGGGTAATTTAGAGAAAATTGATAAATATGATAAATGGGTCTTATATTTAGAACAAAAACCAACTCAAGAATTGGGTCCTATATTAAGGACCGGAGGAGTAAAAAAGATGATTATGGTATTTTAAGAAAAACATATCATATTTTTTGTAATTAACTAACTTATCTAACTTTCTTAATCTAGTCAAATTAGTTAAATATGTTTTATATTAAGGATTGGAGGAGTAACACGGCTTTTTAACCAAAAATATGTTTTTAAAACAAGATGTGGCCGTGCCACTTGTTCACGTCTCAAATGGAACAACAATGGCTTTTTTTGAATAATAAAATATTCTTAAGTCATTTTAAATAGATAAAAAATGTTAAGATTAAAACTCTCGTTAAAACTCACTTAATAAGTACAAAAACTTCTTTAGTTATACAAGTGTACATGAGACCCGCATGTCCAATATACCCGCTCAAACCCGCAAAAAAAAAAACTCAGCCCAGCCCAATAAAAAGCTATCGGAACAAAAATAGACATTTTTTAGCAGGGCTGATTCACGGGCTGGGCTGGGCTGCGGGCAAGGTATGCTGCCCTGCGCATTTGGCCCTAGCCAAAAAAATATATAATTATATATATTATAATATATAATATAATATTATTTTCCGTAATTATCCCTTTTTATTTTGGCTAAAAAATTAGGTAAAATTAGAAAAAATGAAAGGAATATAAAAATTATAATTATATAAAAGAACCAAATATAAGATTAAATATGCTAAATTGCTCCTAGTCAAATTTCTTTCTTTTCCTCTTACCTCCAATTTTTTAAAACAAAAAAAAAAACAACTTTCAAATCTTGTGCTTTCACATAACTGTAAGAATCCGCCAACAATATGAATAAACTAAAGATTTAAACTATAAAATTAACTTAGTTATTAAATGTTTTAGTTATTAAATATTTTTCAACCTCTGATAAGGAATCAAAGGCTGAAGAACAACACTACATAAGCCTTACATATATAAGTGATTGAGTCATTCATGATAATTTTTTTTCCTCTCACCTTGCCTCAAAATATGATATTTGAATTTTTTTTTTACATATGATATCGGTACAGTGTTACTAAGTTGGGCAGGAAAGTCCGTCTTGCCCAACCCTTTGTTGCTTAACCCAAAATTATTCGGGCTTCTACTGGACAAGACCGGGCAGCAGGCTACAAAATGCAGCGCGCTTATCTTTCGGACTAGATATCGGGCAGGGGATTCCCCCCACACAGCCCAGTCCACGTGCAACCCTAATATGTAGTAAAAATACCACCAAATGGAACCACAAGTGCTACATACACGTGTATGGGTATAATACATACACCTAGGGCTGTTCATTAAACCCGGTAAACCCGGTCTAGTCCAAAAAAGAGAAAAAAAAAGTCTGGTGTAATTCGGGCCAGACGGGGTCTAACTCGAATACTGGGTAAGACCGGGTAACGGGTTAATGGTCTGGACCAATAACTCGGTCTTACCCGATATATATAATATAATATATAATAATATATGCATATTATATTATAATATATTAATATATCAAATTTTGGAGGCGACTTGAAGGGAATGGCCAAATGAGGATTAAACGTTAAATGGCACCGTCAAATTTGTTTATCTTTGTTATTTTCAATTTCAAATTACTTTAAAATTACATATTTATATTTATTTATAGTTTGAGAGATAAAATGGATTGTTTGGTATAATGTATCATAATGAATGAGTTATATTTTAAATGTTTAGCTTCATTATATTTAATTTCAAGTTATTTTGAGATTATGTATTTCTATTTATTCTCAGGTCAAAAAAAGTGATATTTGATTGATATAATATATCATAATTTGCAGGTTATATTTTAAATGTTTAGCTTCATTAATCATTATTTTCAATTTCTTTTTATTTTGACTTGATATTATTTTTCGTGGCTTGTCTTGAAGGCTTGTAGCTTGCTGGTTTGTTTACAGGCCAAAAAAAAAAAAGATTGGATTGGACCAAACTAAAAGAGGATGCCAAAAAAAAAACCACTGGATTGGACCAAGAACCCGGTCTAGTCCAGTCTGGTCTGCCCAACCTGGTGGACAGCGAGTCCTGCACCGGGTTGGGCCAGTCTTCGGGCTGGAATGACCAGCCCGAAGACCTAACTAGACCAGACCACGGGCTGATGACCTGCTCCGACTGCTCGGCCTGGTCTGGTTGATCTACAGCCCTACATACACCCCTATATATAATCTACATAGTGTAATGCGATTGTATTTAGAAAGAAGGGTTAAAAAATTATCTCAAAATCGACAAATCCCAATTCCTCCTTGAAATGACTTAACATTATTAAGTTATGAGTAGAGTGATGAGTTTGAGATTACCTTTTAGAATAAAATTATCTAAATATCCTTAGTTTAAAATCTGAATAGTAAAACACGAAATAACAACCAGAGTTTAATGAAAAACTTAACTTATTAAATGAGAACATTTAATATAGTATGACAATTTTAACTTATCAGGGGCAGTCACTTTTCATGTATTTATAACAACAATTAGGGAAAACTATTTTGCACGTATTTATATTTTTTCTCAAATTTTAATTTAGTATTTATGTATTTTTCTCTCTTAATTGTTTTCTGAGCAAAATTTTTCTCTCTTAATTAAATATTTCTATTTTGCTCTATTTGCATTATTACCTCTTATCAAAGTTAACAGTACTAATAGAGTAAAGTTACAGAATCTAACAATATAAATATAATATTAAAAAACACACGTAGCAAATTAAAAATTAAAAAAATGTAAAGGACAATACTTATGTCAAGTTTCTTACATTTATTATGTTAAGTTTTCCAAACACCTCTGGTAAAAAAAAAAAAAGTTTTCCAAACACATATAGTTATGTATTCTATTTTTGAAATATTAATATTTAGTATCATTTAATTATAAACCTACATGAAAAAATATAAAATATTTGGCCACATGTGATTGGAGAACTTGATATGATAAATAGTTGGATATAAGTAATTTGACTTGAGTATTTTTCAAATATTAAATACCTGTCAAATAATTTTTCTCAATAATTAAAGTAGTGATAACCAATTTGACTAGAGTAATTAAGTCATTCCATAAAAATTTAATTTTAAAATAATTTCTGCAAGTTTCATCAATATTATAGTGGTGCTTAATCTCTGTTGTTTGTATTTGCATGATCATGAAAGGAAACTAGTAAAAGGGAAAAAGAAAAGAAAAGGAAAGAATAGCCCACCGATACCTGCGAGTCGAGATCGGGTGGCGCACGTGGTCACCGACCATCAAAGCCTCACTCATCACCTTCACGAAGTGTCATCGAATCTTTCAAATCCAACGGTCTAGGTTTTTTTCTTACATCGCCGCGCAGAGCAACTCCTCAACAACGCACGAGCTTCTCCCTTTTATTTCATTTTTTTATTCCTCTGTGTCATCCCTTGGCTTTTTTCCTTCTTCCTTTCCCTTCTCTCCCACTTGCAGAGCCAACCAAACCTTTTCTGTCTGCTCCCTACTGGCTGCTTAACCTTTTTCCCCACCAAGTCTTTCTTCCTCTTTCCTTTACTACAAGTTTGAATTCTTTTTGGGTCTCTGATTCTTCATTTCCCATATGGAACGGGATTTTCTGGGTTTGAGTTCAAAGGTTAGTTCAGCGACTAAGAAAGAGGATACTACTGGTAAAGCGAACGAGCCAGGTAGTATTTCTATGCTTCTGTTCTTCTTCTGAAATGGATGGTTTTGCCTTTTATTGTAGTATTTTCATTCTTTTACTTATTCTAGGATTTCTTTTAGCGACAGTTCTCACTTCACAATTTATTCTTGAACAAAAGGGAAAAATGGAAACTTGCAAGCTCTGGGTTGTGAGATTCTGTTTCGTTTTCCCTTTTCTATGTTTTATCAATTGAATCTACGCATGCATGTAAGGGGACCTCTTCAAGTGAGAATTTTGGGTCTTTTCCAACCTTTTCTTTAGTTTTTACCGAGGCCCTGCTTTCCCAGAAAACAAACGAGAAAAAAGAAGGAAATAAATAATAAACAAATCAATTCCGAGAAATTTAATAAAGTGAAACAGATATTATATGAACAAGCTAAGCAATATTTCATAGATTTTCCCTTCACCGAGATGAATTTTTGGCGATTGGCTGCGAATTCCCTGTAGCATTGAGCTCTTTACTTATTGTCAGTTCTTGTAAACTTCTTTATTTTTATCTAGTTTTTTGTTCTGACAGGAATAAAATAAACAATATACGACGAGATTCTTGAATGGCTGGTGCATTTGCCAAGTAGGAAAAAACGTGGTCTTAGTTGCCTGATGCTATTATTCTACCTTTTTATAGTAAAATGTGCTGCTTCTTTTTCTTGCTTCCATTGGAATTTTGAATCCATCGGTTTTAATTTTTAAATGATGATGACAGCCTCGATGCAAATAACAATTATATTTAAATTGCTATCTATAAAAATTTTTATTCAAGGTTAACATGGGCATGATGAGTGATGCTATTTTTTTAATTTATTCTGCCGCGTTGAGTGGCCTTTTGAAAATAAAGTAATCTGAGAGCAGTGCGGACAAATAACAATTATATAAGGTACCTAGAGTAAGAAACAAGGATATAAAATGAACATATGGTGACAGTATAAAATATTGAAAATTCATAAAGAATTAGAGCATTTAATACTACTATTTTATGTTTTACATGGTGGACTCTGATTTAATAATGCCCATCTACATAGAGAGTTAACACCTTTTCTTATTCCGCGTTCATAAGTTTGCTTTTTTTATACGCTGGCCTGGTTCTACCGACATTGACCAATAAAGTACTTAACTTGGTCACATGTGAGAAAATATAATATGTGAAATATTGCAAGAACTTTAGCTTGTGACGAAGAAATTGCTTCCAGATCTTTTACTCCGTTTCTGGGATTTATGTGTAGTTGTTGAGTCTCCAGGCTATTAGTTGGTCCCTTGTTTAGCCGTATTTAGTCCATTTTGATTTTCTAGTGATTCTAAGAAGTTGAGTGTAGAAGAAATCTCTACTCTTGTTCGCTGATTTGTGTCTCTCCAAATTGGTTAAGTTCTTAAAGGTATCCATGTGATTTTCTTATCATTACTATTCGCAAAAGCATCTCCTTTTAATTTACTTCATTACTTATGGTTATGATTGGTATTCTGGTGTTATAAACTGTTCTGACCTCCAATTAATGCAACAGTGAGGGGTTTAGGAATGCAGTGGTCGTTTTCAAACAAGGTTTCTGCCGTTCCTCAATTGTTGTCCTTTAAGACTTCTCCGGAAGATAGGACAAGAAAGACCACATCATCAGCTGATGCTTTTGACTCTAACCAGAAACCATTCATGGGTGGGATCCAGGTTTGTTTGTGCTTCAATGCTCCGATCAGATTAATGCATCAAATCTAAGAACAATTGCTTCTTTTCCTGCAAATGATCTCTGTTCAAGATTTTCCTCGAAATAGAAAATTCCGGACCTGCATTTTTTGACAAGTTTTCATCTTGTCACTGGATGTGAAAAGTTTCTTTGCTTCTGTAATTTGCTGATGCATTTTGATGACCGAAGTTGAAAAGCGTGAGTTACGGTATGTTTGTTTTGAGGAGAATGGAAGGGAAGGTAGGTTTAAAGAGGCCAAACTTTTCCTTCCCTTCCCTTCTCTATTCTCCTCAATGCAAATATACCCTTAACCTCTTCAATTTAGACTATGTGTTCTCTTTGTATTCTGGTTCTGTAACTGATCTTCCCTCGATTTCCTTGTAATTTTGTAGAAAAGTTTGAGCATGGGAAAACAAGTAGGAAATGAACGTGGAATGACAGTATACCCTATGCAACAAGTTGATACACTTTCAGGCTACCATCAAGAAGCCAGAACATTTTCAGTCTCCAACCAGTCAAATCAGAGGAGTCCTATTCTCCAATCTACTGTCAGTACCAATGTTCGGAACATGGTCAATTCTGCCATAAAACCACACCCTCAAGGAGGAGTCCCTCTGATTGCCCCTGTATCTGTTCTTCCATCAAACGGTTACGTTGTTGGTACCACTGACTTAGGGTAATAACATGTTAAAAATTATTTGAAGCTTCACAATGACAAAAAATAGCCAATAGGGCAGTGTAGAGTGAGTGATATTTGAGTTTGTGCAGGAACTCGTCGAAACCCTCTGGCAAACCTACTCAGCTGACCATATTCTATGCTGGTTCAGTGTGTGTTTATGAAGACATAGCTCCCGAGAAGGTATATATCTTATCTGAACTTCTCTGTTATTTGTTTAAATTTTGGATCGAATCTTTTTAAATTGTTTTTTGCTCACTGTAATGTTCTGTCAGGCCCAGGCTATTATGTTGCTGGCTGGACATGGGAGTACTCCAAATCAAAACAAATCAGTGTCAACAGCTCCAGTGCAAACACCAAACTACAAGCCTTCTAAAGATGATGGGTTTATTGTAAGCCAATCCCACCATTCACCTTTACCAAGTCCGATTCCCATGTCCTTCCATGTTAGTTCTCAGCCTGTGGGAGGACCTCCTAGCACCAATGAACCAGCAATTGTGAGACCAGTATCATCTTCGGCTGCCCCAAGTTGCAATCTGGAGTCTCCTAGTGTAGCTAGCTCTTCAAAATCTGCAGCGACAAAAGTTGGTTCACCTGGTATAACCAGCACTCATGTCTGCTATGTGCACACTGTATAATTAAGTTTCTGCTTCTAGCTTGAGTTAGATGTTGTGATAGACAACAAACTAACGTAGTTTCTGTGTATTTTCAGTGGACTTGCCTCAGGCGCGCAAAGCATCCTTGGCTCGGTTCTTAGAGAAGCGCAAGGAAAGGTAATTGTTGATTTCTTTCCCAAGTTAGCTAAAACATCGGTGTGTGTGAGGGGAGATTTTGGGGGAGATTGGCGTACCAGATATAAATAGATTAAAATTTAAACCAATCATGAAGAGATGATGTAAACGTATTAAACCAGTTACAAAGAGATATATTTGTGCATTGAATCTACTGAGGAACTCTTGTTTCATGATGAAGTATGTGTTTGAACGTTTTATTGATTCTGAATATGATTTTACATTGCTCAGGGTGACAAGCACATCACCATACCACACAAACAAGAAATCACCAGAATGTGGCAATCAAGGAACGGATAGTATTAGTTTCTCCATCACATCCACCGGTTCTTGTCCCCTACCTGCCATGAACTAGCTAGCTAAGCCCTCAAGAAGAGCACATAAAGTTTATGTATCATGTAATTTTGCAGTTCTAAGATCAATTATTTTAATAGCTAAAGTCCTTAGCAATTTTGTCTTAGTTTTTATGGTTGTCTGTATAATCAATTTTTCCCTAGGAAAAAAAATCAATTTCCCCCCTTCAGAATCCAATGATGAGAATTATCTTAAGATTCATTAAGCATGGGTATTATATTTCTTATCAAGGTTGTACTTCATCCAAGGAATCTCAGGCCAAGTATTTATGGGTCATGCATCTAGCATGAGCAGCAGGACAATCTTTGCCAGTCTCTGTCTTGATTTTAGGAGGATGAATGAAAAAACCGTCAATACAGGACTGTAGTCATTAAATTATGCATTACTTCATAACTTTTTTGATAATTTTTTTTTTTAAATGACAACCTTTGAATATGCCTTAATATGATGAGCTATTGATATGTATTTGGGCTTCGCATCGCATGATGGTGAGATATGGACTTTTTAGAATACAGGATTTTCTGTAGCATCCTACAAATGGAATCCTGTACATTTTTCTTAATGAATGGTGTCAAATTTTATCATCATCAATGTTAGTACTATTTTTTTGTTTTGTTTTGTTTTAAACAAATCTTAAGCCATTCAAATGTACTGTTAGTGGCTCATGTGAAGGGTACATCCCAGACATTATTGCAAATGGACAAGATTATAATGCTTTAGTCACAATTGGAAAATGAAAATGTGCAAGGGGAAATGTTGAATAGCCTGTGTCCTGCATGTGGGAGAAATGGGGGAAAAAAAGAGAATTTTTTTTTTTGGTTGCCAGAGGGTGGTCTGGGCAACCAAAAAAAAAAGATTTCGCATGTGAAGTTGTTTATTCTTTCTGGTTTGTCATCTTGTATTTTTTTTTTTGGGGAATCAAGTTAACTTGTATCTTTATTTATGGATGGCCATGTATTAAGCAATGGCTTGTCTACTGTTTCACTGGACAGAATCAGAGTGCTATTTTGTAAGTTTATGATGGTGGTGAAGGAAATGGGCTTGGAGTCTAGACTGCGTGGTTGCAACCTCCACTAAAAGTAAAATTAGGCAGATTTGATCTGGAAAAAAAAAATGATAGATTGATCTAGAATTTGTTCATGTTAAATAAGATTAAGTATTTTTTTCAGAATAAAATATTTTTTTAATATTTTAATTAAATTATATTATTTTAATTATAACCGGTTTAATTTTGAGTTGATCCTAATCTGATTCATTCATTTCTAAACCACCGGTTTGTTAACCAGTTTAATTTTTTGAACCTTGCTTAAGGTTTCTTCGAATGAACAAGGATGATGAGTGGGTGAGTTTGTAAATTTGTTCACCATGAAGAGAAATTATATGTGTGTATGTGAGAGCCCCTGGTTTGTTCATAAAATAATAATATAATTTAATTATATTGTTAACATGGTCCTATATACTGTAAAACAAAATTCTAATATATTCTTTTTTCTAATATAGAAATAAAATTATAGCCTTAAGTATTGTATTAAAAATAAGATTTGAGAGTTTCGTATGGTGCAGAAAAGTTTTGTTGACAAAAAATAAATAATAAGTCAGTAGTGTGTAATAATTTATACGAGCTAGGATTATACCATATATAAGTTAGTAAAAATAGAATAATATATTTAATGCGTAATTGTTAATTTATAATAACTTTTGAGTTTTAATAATAAAAATATCAGTTGTCATAAGTTTACTATGATGTTATAAAAAATAATAGCTAAAATACATCTTTAGTATTCTAAGTTTAGATCAAGTTTCATTTTAATTCTAAGTTTATGAAATGTATTGTCAGTCCCTTCATAACATTTAAATACTTATCTTTCAACATGAATCTAATAATTTAATAAACTCTCAACATATAATTAATTCAAAGTTTATGAAATGAATCTAAACTCTCAATATAAAAACTCATCTTTCAAAATATAAGAATTTTATATTAAAAGATTATATTTTAAGCTTTCTTTTTTAGCATGTAAGTACACATTCATCATTTAAATGTGTTGGGTCATATTTTTCATTAATAAAACTAATAATTTTAATGTTAAATGATTGAATATATACTTTTTGTTTTTTAGCAAAGACTAAAAATATACTTTACAAACTTAAAGAACAAAACTAAAATTTAATATAAATTTAAAGGACCAAAACATAAACTTAAAAAATGATTTATGGTAGGTAAAATTAATTTTTTAAAGATTTTGAAGGAGAGCATATTATTTGTTAGAAAAAATAAATTTGGTTTAATTTTCATTTAGAGTTAATTAATCTTATTTTTATAATAAGGCAAAATAAAATATAAAACGGTAAAATTTTTGAACAAATCTGATGGCGCGAAAGAGGGAAAGGAAAACCCTACTTTTCAACTGCCCTATTAGTGGCGCACTATAAGCGAGCGTGAAAATATGGGTTAGGGCGTCGGGCTTCGCGTGACCGCAGAGAAACCGTTCAGGAAGGGCCAGCTCTCTTAAAAGAAGAAAGTATCTTTCCGTGGGATGGGTAATTTCCTATTCATTTACAGCTATTCTGAAAACCTCTTTTTTCAAGTTAGAGGCAATCACACCAAGAAGCACTTTTTTTCTTAAGGGCTAGCGTGTGCCTCTATTTTTTTCTCCCCAGTAGGGGATTGTGATGTCTATAGAGCACGGTTTAGGTTCGACATCTGAGTAATGAATCGAGGTAGCACAATGTGAAAAACGACCCACCTTGGGAATTTCCTGTTTGCTATTCTGATCCTATTGGAATATTAAAAAGATTTTTTTTTTCAAATCCATTCTATTGATTTTGCTGTATTTTTGTTTCTGCCTTTTATTTTATTTTATTTTAATTCTTAATATATGTCAAATGTTTTGGTGGCTTTATATTGAAGTTCTTGCATCATACTTTTGATTCAATGATGCTTGGATAAATATCATTTATTTCATTTTCTATGTATGTTCCATTGGGCAGCGTTTGTGAAATCTGTGCTTTTGACTATTGAATTATTTGAAATTTGGAATTGACTGTTGAGTGTCGGAAATTGGAAAATTTACTAGTTCAAAGGTCTAAACTTGACATGCAAAGGTGCCTGAATTTTTCTTGCCTATTTACAAATGTGGGAAGATTGAGATTGATTTAAAAGCTTGAGGTTGGCATGCAAAGCTGTCATAATTTTCCTTTTATGCCTTGTATTCCTTCGAAATTGCATGTGCCTTCTATGAGGAAAAGGAAGCTTTATGATGTAAATAGACATACCTGCTTTGGTATTTGAGTTTGTATACTTAATGCACTCCTACAAGGCTCATTGACATTTTATCATTTGATGTCTAATCTTAAAGTGTATAAAGTAATTATGAGGGTCTACTTTTGCTTTGTAGCTCAGACTCTTCATGTTTTTGTTGCATTATAGCCCCCTTACATGTACTTTGGCAAATTTCTTGTGCATGAGCAGCTGCTAATATTGATGATCCCTACATCATTTGATGCTTGATTTGGATGCCGATTTGTGTTTGTGGGAAAATGAGGTTGATGCCTATCACAATTGCAAGGATTGATGATCATTGTTGGATGCCTATTTGAAAAAATGAGATTGATGCCAATTTATAAATATGGGAAAATTGAGCATGACACATATTTACAAATATGGGATAAGTGAGATTGGTTCAGAGGTTTAAACTTGACATGCAAATTGAATTTTCCTTGCATAAAATTCATTATGTGGCTTTTGTGAGAAATGATACTTGATCACCGCATCATATGATGCCTGATTTTGATGCCTATTCACGAATGTGGGAAGATTGAGATTGATTTGGAAGCTTGAAGTTGGCATGCAAAACGGCCATAATTTTCCTTTTATGCCTCGTATTCCTTCAAAATTATATATGGCTTCTGTGAGAAAATGACAGTCTTATGATGTAAATAGACATACCTACATTAATATTTGAGTTTGTATACTTAATGCACTCCTACGAGGCTCATTGACATTTTATCATTTGATGCCTAATCTTAAGGTGCATAAAGTAATTATGGGGGTCTACTTTTGCTCTGTAGCTCAGACTCTTCATGTCTTTGTTGCATTATAGCCCCCTTACATGTACTTTGACAAATTTCTCGTGCATACGTAGCTGCTAATATTGATGATCCCTACATCATTTGATGCTTGATTTGGATGCCGATTTGCGTATGTGGGAAAATGAGGTTGCATTATCACAATTACAAGGATTGATGATCATTGCATCATTTGATGCCTGATTTGGATGCCTATTTGAAAAAATGAGATTGATGCTAATTTATAAATGTGGGAAAATAGAGCATGATGCATATTTACAAATATAGGATAAGCGAGATTGGTTCAGAGGTTTAAACTTGACATGCAAAGTTGCCTGAATTTTCCTTGCATAAAATTCATTATGTGGCTTTTGTGAGAAATGACACTTGATTATTGCATCACATGATGCTTGATTTTGATGCCTATTTACAATTGTGGGAAGATTGCAATTGATTGAGGTTTGAACTTACATTCAAAGGTGCCTTAATTTTCCTTGCATGCTTTTTAATCATTCAAAATTGCATGTTTTTTTGTGAGAAATGATAGTTGATTACTACACCACTTCGTACTTGATTATGATGCCTATTTACGAATTTGTGAAAATTGTGCTTGATGCCTATTTATAGCTATGGGATAATTGAGATGATTCAAAGGCTTGGATTTGAAATGCAAAAGTGCCATATTTTTTTTTTGGCACATCGTGCAATCCTTCATAATTGCATGAGGCTTTTGTGAGAAATTAGAATTGATCATTGCATCATTCATTGCTTGATTTTGATGCCTATTTACAAATACGAGAAAGTTGAGATTGATGTCTACTTACAAATGTAGTAAAACTGAGATTGATTTAGAGGCTTAAACTCGACATGCAAAGGTGCCTTAATTTTCCTTGCATGCCTTGTAATCCTTTGAAATTCATTATGTGGCTTTTGTGAGAGGTTACAGTTGATCACTGCATCTTTTGATACTTGATTTCAGTGCCTATTTACTAATATGGGAGGCTTGAGCTTGACATGCAAAGGGGCCTTAATTTCCCT